ACGTATACAAATACCGAATAATTTCCTCTCGGAACATTCGTCCATTTAAAACCACTATTCGGTGCATCAACAATCTCGGTGAATATAAACTTCGACGTATCCGATAACTTCTCATAGATGGTAAATGTCATCTGCTTGATACGTCGATCTGTCGGACGTTTGTAACGTAACCAAACACCCTGCAATCATGCACTATAACCTATCCAAACAGCAACACTATCACTAAACTTACTTATTTCTAATAATACAATCTTCTGCGTTTGCTATTCTTTTGATTCTATTTTTGCAGATTCAAAAACGTAACCTCGAAACGTTGCAAACGTGAATTGAGGCCAAACACAAAGATATTGTACATTGCAAAACATTACCACATCATGTCGTATCGACACAGCAACACTATCAATAAACCTTTCTTACTTCTACCAACACAATCTTCGGCGTTTGCTATCCTTTTAAACCTATCTTTGCATTAATCAAATATTCCTATTTGCTTATAAATGAAACATCTCAAATTTGATATCAGTCTATCTTTGATCTCATTAACCTTTCACAAAGCCACCATTCCCGATCTATCTTCATGCCTTTGCACATTCAAACACCTAAACTCGAACCGTTGCTAACGTGAAAGGAGCCAGGCTAAGTGAAAATGTATATTGTAAAATTGTAAAACATTACCCTAATTTTCACTAATTGTAAATCTAATCCACCATACTCCTCAATCAAAGATAGATTAAAATTGTAATCAATCAAATCATTTCTTAAATAACTAATAAATTAAAAAATAAAACAAATAACTTTAAAAAAATAACTCAAGTTAAATTAAAAAACAACTCTCAACTAACAATTTAAAAAAATAAATAAACAAATTTAAAAAAAACAAACAAATAAATAACTTCAGATCTATAACCCACATCTTGAGGTGTGATATCAACGATGACCAGTGGAGACCAATCGTTCAAATTCACCGCTTCACCACTATAAAATCTCGCTATTGACGAGTGCAATTGCGTTTCCAACGGTAACGTCACTATGAATGTTGATCTAAAATCTATTTCATATATTCCTTCATTCATTCACTAACTGAATACATTCTCAACACACAAAATCGTCTCCACCCAACTCACGCATAATCATAAACACCATCAAAACACTCAAAATCAAAACCTATCAATCGCGCAAATCGCAGAAAAAATTCCATCCAAAACTATAAAATTAACCAATCCAACCAATTCATCACCTCATCAAATCTGACAATTCAAAAACCCGCTGACTTATCGCAAATTCAAAAAACAAAAACAAATCCAACAAAAATGATTCCAACTAACTTACGTGCACAAACGCGGTACCAATGTCACATTCACCAAATAATGCGAATGTCCGAACAATCGAAAACAATCGTATGCGAAACGAAATGGCAACTGGATGGACGATGCAGCCTCACTAGCGATTCTCAACACCCGACACGGCCATATCATACGACCCCATCGACGAATCTGCGTCTCAAATTCAAAAAATTCCCAATCTCTTTCCCACCAAAGTAAATACAAATCAAAACAACAACGAATATACTCACCATCCCTATTGCCTGCATCATTACAATATTAAACAAAAACCACACAAAAATTTACTATACAAATTCTAAACGTTTAACTTATCTTACAATTGTTAATCAAACACCAAATTCCAATTTATCACTCAATCAATCATCAC